GATGTCAGAAATCGAAATTGCAATGTGGGCTTGTGCCACAGACGGGATTGCGCACCAGGAACGCAGCAAGCAGAAGAACGATGACAGAAAGAAGCAGAAGAATTCGGAGAATCGAGTTGGAACAAAGTTTGACACATCACCTGCACCAGCAGCAGCAGCAGCAGCACCACCGATGCCGGACTTGCTCTATGCACCTCGGATGAATCTTTGTTCCTCCTTTCCAGCTGCGGCTATTCTCTGGGCCCACCACCACCACAAACATCAGGCTGTCGCTCGCCTGCCTGCCTGCCTCCTGCTGCTGCTGCTGCTGCTGCTCTTCAAGCGAATGTGGTGCGACGAGATATGAAGGAGGAGGAAGAGGAGGAGAAGCGCCAGAAATCTAAAGACTGCGACATTTGTTTCATCCTAGAGTCCTGAGCTCCTGGCTCCGATGGGCAGATGTCGGAGAGCAGCAGTAGCAGGCTGTTGTGGTTGTATGCAAGCTTGCAAATTGAGCAGCAACAGTTACTGGAATTGAATGGCCGAGAGCTCTAACTTGGAAACGGAATGAAACAAGCGCGACTCCGTTCTCGAAATGAAACGGGCAAGCGATTCTCAGCCCCCGGTCTAGATACAAACTTCAGAACCTGAGGAGGGAACAGGAGAGTTCGTTCTGCCTCGTAGCGGCACAGCCTGACTCACGCCTGACTGTCCCTTAGCCTCCTGGTCCCGAATCCCGAGAGCGCTTACAGCAGCATCAGCTCCAGCAGCTGAAGCAGTACTGCTGCAGCTAAAGACAAATTGTCCGCTACGGCTCGTGCTTAATTACAGAATCAATCGGCAGAACTGCGAGCTGAGCTCGCTCTGTTCACGCTCTCTGCCATGGCCATGCGCATCGGGAAGGAAACACCAACTCTGATATTCTGAGCCAGCATTCCCCGAGCGCCGCGATGGCCTGGGAACGTTCGAAGTGCTTCTGTTCGGCTAGCTGACGCTAAAATTGTAGAGCTAGAAACAAAAGTGGAGGACGAGCATTCTGATCTCCATCCATGGTTATCAATTTTTGCTGTAGAGTAGCTAGCCCCCATCATTGAAAGACAGGTATGGCCTGGACCCCAAAGCGCTAGCCAATCTTCAGATATTATTATTTTTGCAGTTCCAAGCTTCATTCTTTCCTTCCATACTTCCTCCCTCCTTCGATGTCACACAGCTTGCAGTAGAAGTCGCCAAACTTGATATATACGTCTATGTTGGGCATCCTAGTTGTCGGTGAAATGTATGCTCTTGTCAAAAGAGCATACCTTTGGTTTTCTACGCTTGGATTCCTCCTCAGTACATGATGGAAGATGGTTCTCGACGATCAACCTCAAACATACAGCAAAGCCCTGCTGGGAGTGGGGGGGGGAGGGGACATCACATTGCTCATAAAAACCTCGACGATGTCGGGAAAACAACGACCCCGTTGGAATCTGCATCCTGCTTTACATGAAAATATGCCGGTGCATGTTCATTGTCATCATCTTGGTGAATTCCTCCATTAAGATGCTCACCGTACACATTGGGAGCATGTTTATTTGAGAAATAATTGCATGGCTGGCTGGCTGGCTGGCTGGCTGGCACATACAACAACAACAACAACGGAGGAAGTGATCCAGTGGCTCCGTACACAGAAGCCAGAAAATTGGAAGAAAGGAGAGGAGAATCTTGAGAGATGGATCCCCACCTGGAACAAGAAGTCATGGATGAGCTCAACATCTGAAGCATAAGAAATGAAGGGGAAGACGATAAGGTGCGCAATTAATCAGCAGGAGCAGGAGAAAGCAAGCAAGACGGCATGATAGGGTCATGGATAGCACAACACAACGTGCACCACGACCACAAACCTCTGAATTCAGAGAATGCGCTTGCGATCAGATGGCTAGGGTTGTATCATGTCGTCCCTACAGAAAAAGCAAAGGAGGGCGAGGGGCCGGAGCCCCGGAAGCCCAGCCGAGCTCCAGCTAAAGGGACCTGATCTCGGAGAGGGATGTGAGAAACATGATGAAGCGGGGAAAGATCTCAAGGACCTATTAAGTGTTCGTGTCAGAGCTCTAATAGTAAGCAGACGTACTAAGCCAATATTAGATCAGGGCAACTCGCCGAGCTTCAGATTTACACGTGCAGATTTATGGTTTCCTCCCAAATCCTCCCGCAGATGACATGACTTCTTTCGACCCTGGCCTTGCTTTCGCCATCGCATCAGATGCCCCTCGCCTTCACACTGCAATCGCTTCCATCTCTGCTGATGCAAGCACGCTGCGTACTTGCAAGCGAGGTGAGGCGGCCGGGGAGGCAATTCCAGACGGAGGCGCCTTGGCCTCTCTTTCTGAATCTGAAATCGCCTCTTGCTGTACGTGGTCTGCACGGCACAGGCACAGCAGGCACTTAATTTCATTGACATCGACATGTCCCAAACTGCAATAATGCCATCGCTCAGAACTCTGAAAAACAGCTGAGCGGGGCTCGGATCGATGTGCAGCACAGCACACCAATCTCTCTCCCTTCTGCCGCCGACGAGGAGTTATCGTATCAGGCACAGACAGGACTAGGACCACACATCTGAACACAACCCAATCAATCCTCGAGCAAATACTACTACGCATGGACAGTCAGTTGCTGAAGACTGCTGATACAGTCACAGAGCAAACACTGGCCCGCGCATTTGGTGTTTTTCAAGGTGGCTGCGATACGTATGTGTTAGCTGGGCGTCTTCAATTGAACCCTAGGCCACCCGGACGAGCCTCAGCAAATTGTAGTATCCTCGTGATACAGAGAGGATTTGGATTTTCGTCCATAAGCACCAGAAGCAGCAGCAGCGGAGCTTAGCGTTTGGGGAGTGGGGGATAATTTTTTGTTTATTGTTTTCCAGATGGGTCTGGTCGCTGGATCATGCTCGTGCGGTCTCAACCCTAGGCCGAGAAGAGTTACAGAACGCGAAGGGCTGCACTGCAGTGAATAATATCCAGTCACAGAAGATCTAGTCATGAGATCTAAAAAGCAAAAGCCGCATCGATGGGCCACTTTCTTGCGATAATGATCTCTCTCGAGGTGTCAACCCTAAAGCAGCACATCCGGCACGTAAACCCGGCATCTGCAGACTTTCAGCGTTGTAGTATCTTCAGTGTCATGCAATGATCAGACTCGTAAAACGGTGCCCATCGATCTGCAGCCCCCAGCCCCCATTTTTTTACCAGATCTCGTCAGTACCCAGCATTCTCTCCCGGTGCCCGGATTTTCGATCTGTCTGCGCCTAGCTCTACAGTTCTATATAATCAATCCCATTTCGCAGATTGCGTGTTACAGCCAGCTGATGCAGATCTGGGTGCAAGGCGGTTACTCGAATCTACGATTCTTCTGATGTAGATAGATCCAGTCAATCTGAGATTCGAGCTATCGAACAGAGAGGAGGTTGCAGTGCTTGGGTTCTGAGTCTGAGTCCAGATCTAGCCAGCCTGAAGTGGATCAATCGGGAAATTTAATCGATTGATGCAATTGGACAGTTACATTGCGAGAGGTAAAAGTGCATGTGCGGACGAAGTACGATTAACAGCAAAATCAGAACGCAGCCAGATGAAAGAACTCGGTTAGCTAGCTGCTGCAACTATGGCCTGTCGTGGCAAGACGCATTGAATCAGGGGCGCAATTTGTGATCAGATCAGCGTTGCAGCTCCATACATCACATCACACCAGGCCAGTCCAGTGCTGACCGCCTGCTTTAATCGGAACCAGCCCATTACAGCACAGCACAGCAGTGCTGTAACTTTCCCTCCTCGGAGTTCTGATACTGGGGACTTGAATGCCTAGCCTCAAAGATCTCGCAGCATCGACTCACGGACATGTCTGACATCACCATCTGGATCAGCGAATCTGGGTTGCACCTTCGACTATCAGACACCGTGAGGTCAGCTGCTCGAGTGTCAAATCGCCATTGACCTCACTCGAGAACAGAAGCCCGAGCTGCCTGCCTGCATACACAGCAACTGCCTGTCCATGGAGCATCCGAGTGCTTGGATTCGATTCGCCTCGCCTCGATGCAAGTCCACTTTCATGGAGAGACAGCGACCGCCAAGACAATCCGCTGCTCATGATCATGATCATGAGCGGCCGACGGATGTCAATTGCAAATCGGACTGCTGAGGCGCGACAAGAAGGGCTAGGTCCCGCAGAGCCACCGACAACGAGAGATATCGCATTGACCGGCAAGCTTCAGATTTCTGTGGGCGCAGTGGAGGGCCGACTAATGCAGCGTGCTCGAGCGAATTAGATCCACGACATGTCGCTCTCTCTCCTCGTCGCAAGGTACAAATCGGCACGGCACCGCTTTGTGAGCGCAAGGGGTAAAAACCGGTGGACGGGTCTATTACCGCCATCGATAATTTAAGAGAGCACGAGAGAGAGAGACTCAGACACTGCGATGGGCATCGGCTGCCAGCAGCCCAGATATCGTTATCAACGTGGATCGATGCGACTGTCGCACATGAGACGTGCAACCGCACACGAGACGTATTGCAGATGCAATCCACGCCAAAAGGGAGCAGACGTAGGAGAGAGACGCAGTCGAGAGAGAGAGAGAGAGAGAGAGAGAGAGACCGTGGGCACTGGAAATTTCAGATCGATTGATTTATTGATTTACTGATTTACTGATCTACTGATTGATTGATTGATTGATTGACCAATCGATCGATCTATCGATCGATTGCCACCCAGAGGGCACGCTCAGAGGCTGCGACGGGTAGTGGGAGGGAAGGGCACGGCAGATCGATCTCAGATATACCTGATTTTGCTTCAGCCGCGCTGGGACCAGACGAATCATTGCATCGAGGACACCCAGCGAGGTCGCCATCAGCGGGCTCGAAATCCAGATGCTGTGCGTGTCCGATGCGAGAGGAGACGAGACGAGAGGTGAGGGGAGGGAAGGAAAGGGGATGGGAGGTGAGGTGAGGTGAGGTGAGGTTAGGTGAGGTGTGGGAGTGCACGAATATATAAAAACCCGAAGGCTTATTAAACGCAAGTTGCTTCGTGCGCAACATCAACAACGCAGCACCGATGCGCATTTTATAATTACACGAGCAGGGCACCTCCAGCCTGTGTCTGCTGCTGCTGCACTACTAGCCTAGTCTACTGCACTGGAGCCCCGCGACACGAAGAGCAGCATTAGTGTAATCTAAGCAGGCCTGATCTTACGTGCATGTCTCGCATCTCATCAAGCCCGCACTAACTCTTCGCTTCGATCAGCGCCCCGGCTCCAGACGGATCTGAGCCAGAAACCTAATCTGCCGCAGCTGCAACGAGAGTCGAGAGTCGACATAGCCGGGGACCTCTATCTCAGATTCTGACAGCGTGCCCTGTACAATGATGTGTAGTCTACGACTCATGTTATCCGATCGACCTAATTCTCTTGCCCATCAGCCATGCCCTCGCGCGCTCAGACGCGATCGGCTCGCGCATGCTTGCTTGCTGCTATCGCTAACAAGATCGCGAATCCGGTCGGCCCAAATCAGATCCAAAATTTTGACCCGAAGCTCGGGGTGGTGGTGCGGGGGGCGAGTGGAGGTGAGGCCATGTAATTGAATCAGGCGCACGCCAAGAATAAGTGAATCAACAAAGTGCGTAGAGTAACAAGTGTCTGAAATTTGGCCTCGTGGGCCTAATGGAATTCAAAATTTGGGCCAGCCGCAGCTTGCGTGCTCGCGAGTTTGTGTCCAACCAACAGATTGTCCTCCCAGGGATGAGACTAGATGCTCAAATCGGGATCAAAGCACAGACAGTTTGACGGTCTTGTGACGTCGGCGAAATTTCATCGGCACATCGTGCTCTAATGTTGTAGTTGGCGACTGCGGCATGGCTTTAGATATTTCGCTCTGAGCAGGAGGAGAGGGAGGTGAGGGAGGGCTTCGTTGCTGTTGATGTTGTTGCTGCTGCTGCTGCTGCTGCTGCTGATGTTGATGATGATGATGTTGCTCCTGCTGCTGCTGCTGCTGTAATTGTTGTTGTTGCTGTTGTTGTTGCTGCTGCTGCTGCTGTCGATCGCGAGACTGCTGAGGAGAAGCCTTCTGCTTCTTGTTTCCCTTGCACAGCTTCTTCAGACGGAACTTGGTCAGATGATGCTCGCACAGCGTAAAGCCCTCGAGGACTTTCAATGGGCATCGCCAGGATCGGCCGTCGGTGCGCCCGCACTGCTTGCCTTGCGTGGCCTTGTCGTGCTCTGCAATCTGAGCCAGGCCTCGGTAGGACCAGCCCATGGGGAAGTTGGCAGTGGGGCACCGGTCCGTGCCTTCGACCTGCATGCTCTCTTCCTTGGTCACGACCTTGGCGACCACCTTGTCTGCTGCAGCGCCATGTGCAGCACCCCCGCCTCCCGAATACTTGAACTCCTCGTCCTCGGACTTGGCTCCAATTTCCTGCGCCGGACTCGAATCAGACTCCACCTGCCGGCGGTGCCTCTTCCTGCTGCATGCGAACGCACTCCTGGTGCTGCCGCTGTCGACGGTCGTCGGCCTCTTGGCGGGAGGAGGCGGAGGAGGATCATCGATCACCTCAGATTTGGCGAGAGCCTGCTCGTGCGCAGACTCGATTTCTTCGGCCTTGGCCATCGCCTTGCTCGTCGTATCGGAATTCATCTACAGTGACCACGGACCCAGACTTATTGGTTACTCCATCTGACAATCAAACATTCACCATGCAAAAGCACAACCCAACCCTCGCCATCGTGCTCGACCTCTCTCAATCTCTCCTATTGCCAGCCCCTACAGTGCGGCGGGCTCATGGCTGATGCTAAGCGGCCAATTCTGCTGCAATGCGTCCGTGACGCACTGCAGGCCCGCCAATCGAAGGCATCGGCAGATACAAGCAGCAGCAAGCTACAACAATCTACCCGTCCGGACTCTATCTGACGAATCGATCAATCAGACAATCTGATGAGCTTATCATTATAGTCGCCTGTGTCTCTCCTCGCCCCCCGTCAAATCCCTAGGCCGACATTGTTACTCGTAGCTGCAACTCGTATGCGGCAATGAATAGGACCGACAGTCCAGCCTAGCGCTGCCTTGGGGCTGGGGGCTGGGGAGAAGTGTGGACGCAGATGGGTCGGCACATTTGGGGATTGTTCGACGAATACGTGCAAAGAGGCTGGGGGGGCAGTGTACAGCAGGTGACAGGATCTCGAAAACACGAGAGTGGGGAGGTGGTGCAGGGATGGCAAGACGAGAGACGCACCTTGTCGCCGCCGGAGACGGATGTCGATTTCGACGACCTGGCGTCCGCGGCATGCTTGACACTCCTCTTCCTGGAGCCTGCGGCGTGGCCCGTATCTGATTCAGACCCAGATTGACGACGGCGAGACGCGTAATTGAGGTTGTTCTCAGATCCGCCGCCCTGCGCCCTCGCATTATCTCCCTGCGCGAGGACGAAATCTCTGATTTTGTACGACGACGACTCGTTATCTAAAGAGCTAAGAATCGCCGCGGCATCGAGCTCGAGCATGTCCACATCGAGCGGCTGCTGCTGCTGTTGCTGCTGCGGCTGTGGCAGTGGGAGCGACTGTGACTGTGACTGGGGCTGCTTCCGTATCGGAGGCTTCTCATTCTGCGAGTGCTGCACCACCAGCAGCGGAGCGGGATCACATTTCGCCGCATCCACGTGCTTCAAGGTCTCCACCTTCTCGACATGAGTGACACAAAACTCCGGAATCACTCGCGACGACGTCCTATTCTTCCTTATCCTCATACTGTCTCTCTCTCTCTCCTTCTTTCCTGCTCGACCTCCTCCTGCTGCCTCTCTTGCTCGCGAGAATCAGATAGAAATGTGCGCCTCAGGCTGCAGGCGATGCAGAAGATGCAGATGGTCGAGCTCGGCCACTCATAATATACTGCCCCGGATCAGACCTCCAGCGCCCCTCACGACTCTGAGAACTTCCAGTAGCACCCGACTCTGAATTGCAACAGCGACAGCCGATGATGCGCGCGCTCCAACGCACGCACGTTCATATTCAAACTAACCTCCTCATAGCCCCCCAACGTCACAGTCGACCGCTGCCCCCCAGCCGCTGTCACAGCAATAGCCCCCGAGAGGAGGAGAGAGGGGGCTAGAGAGAGGGGAGCTCGGAATGTACGTCGCGTCCGTTGCTCGTTCGAGAGGTGCTGACGATCAGATTGCCCGATTGATCGAGCTAAGCCCCCGGCCGCATTGCAGGAAGTCAACCGCCCTGGAAATTACGCTGCCCCCCGCGACAAGCCCAGCTCGCTTAGCCCCATCATCGTCCACGAGCCCCGTGCTGTGCGTATCCGACTGTCTATCTATCTGTCTATTGCAATCTACGAGCGGGAGGGACGTAATACTGGCGCCGGTGCCAGTGCCTGTGCCTGTCACCGAAAAGCCCAACGAGATGCTGCTGCTGGTGCTGCTTATGCTCCTAAGGAATGCATCTGATTAGGGTTGTCGCTGCTCGGTCTATTGCTCGCGCTCGAGCGACGCTCACTCCGCGCTCATTCCGACGCCCAAGAAAGATTGTAAAATCGCGTGCCCAGCATGCAATGCTCACGCCCTAGTCTGGACTCTTCAATTCCCGTGTGCTGCTGCTTCCCGCGACCCGCCTCGCCTCGCCTTCACCTCCTGCGTTTCGTGCACCCACTCCGTGGCCCGGCCCTCTCGCAGTCCCCCAGCCCCAGCTTTCCCCCGCTCGCGTTTCCGCTTCCTGCTGCTCCTGCTGCTGCGAGCGGCCTCTCGCCACCCGGTTTGCCTTGATCAGACAGACCGAGCCAGCCAGCGCTAGCACCACGCTTCCGCTCGGGCTCTCGCTACAAGCTGCACATCAGTGCCGCCGCCTAATTCTTGCTCGCTGCTGCTGCTGCTGCTGCTCGCGTCGGATAGGATAGCTACTTTAATACCTACTTTCCCAATCGAATCTGCGCGCGATGATTCCAGGTACTCACACTGACTTGACTGCCTGCCTGCTGCGACTGCTTCCGCTGTCCGCCTTCTGATTCTCTCTGATACTCTCGTCGTACTTTGGCCAAACCTCGACAAATCTCGCCCTTTTCCCCTCGCCTTCCCCTACCCCACCCTCCCTCCCTCCCTCCCTCCCTCCTCTCTCTCAGACTCCTCTCGATCCGCGGATTGCTCTCTCCTCTCGATACTCGTCTCGCTCGCTCGCTCTCTAGCGCTCTCTCTCCTTCCGTCTCTCCGTTTCTCTCTTTCTCGCGCGCGCGCGGGGCTTGCGCCTTGCGCCTGTCTCGGCTTTGTACCTTGCGGGGCTTCCAATCTGAAGCGTGAGCCAGCAGAAAGTTACTAGAGGGGCAGAGGGTAGAGAGTGTGGAGGAAGGGGGGAGGGGGAGGGGCAAGCGAGGGAGTAGTTCAGTTCGTGGTTCACGGGATTCCTCGATCAGTCGTGGATTGCCGGTGACGACCGCCGACTCCATGGAGTGTTGCCCCGTTGATGAGGGCGGACGAGTGCCAGACCAGCTGCCAATTTAGCCGCACTGTTGATTAATTTAGTCGCCCCGTTCCGGACTATGGCTGAGGTCAGATCCGCTCCAGACCTCGCCCCATCTCGCTAGCCAACCCCCGCCCCGCCAGCGAGGTCAGGTCGGTAATTTCCTGCGAGCCCGCTCAGAGATGCCCCCGCCATTATATTTTACCCACCCCCTTTCATTGGCCATCCACCGTCGACCGTGCTTCCCCCAAATACAAACCCTTTCCTTTCCCTTTAATTCCACTCCATTTTCCTCCTTTTCCATTCATCTTATTTATTTATCCCCACCCCCACCCCCAACCCCAGGCCCCGGCGAAATCTTGATCTTTCATTCCTCTTCATCCGAATTACAGAAGACATAATAAATCGCAGCATTTGTCCTTGCTCCAGGCGCCGGGACGGGGCCAATTTTAGCTCGCAACCGAGTCAAATAATAAAGCGCCGAGACGATGGACGAGGTCAGAGATCAGTAATGTCGGGCCAGTGGGGAAAAGCCTTTTATCCGGGGGCGGAGGAGATTTCTTAATGCCGCAGATTTTATTTTGAATCTGGGCACAGGAAGATTTCGGGGCTTCGGATTTTCTTATAGAAATATTCTTCTTGAAATTGGCGACGGGCTCACGACACTCATGGTTACATCGCGTAATTCGTTTCGTACTGATTGGGCTACTGCGATCGCCTTTCATAAATTATACGCCCAAATATATACAGGAGTTTAATAACCGCGACGCCCGCCCGGCTGTACCCTCCGGTACGGCCTAGGCCCGAGACGGCAGGGAACTGAACGGAGCGAGTGACGGAGCGAGGGACGGACGGCTTCAGGTCATGTCGGCATGCGGAAGTATGGATGGATGCAAGCTGGAACTTATGTCGACGACGGGGGTAGAGGAGAGGAGAGGTGAGGTGAGGGTGCGATTGGGGCTTGGGCTTGGGGCTGGGGCTGAATTGATGTGGATGATGTCGCTCGGAAGAAGCACAAGAAGAAGAAGGGGGTTGGGGCGCGGGGGGAGGGGAAGTGATGCATGTGTGTGTGTGGACCGCATGGGGCATCTGCGCAGGCAGGCGTATGATGGGCATGGTCGGTATCCATGGCCCATTAAGATCGAGCGATCGAGTCTTAAATAGATCGGTCACAAATTGAACGGTCGGATGTCACCACTGAGCCCCCGACGTCAGCTTCTGTACATGTTTGGGCTTGGGCTTGCCGGCGAACACGCCACAGTGCTGTTCTTCCGTTGAGTGAGTAAGTAAACCCGTAAGCACCATCTCCTTCCTTAAGCCACCGGCGTCCGTTTATTAAATCAGATCACATCTGAGCCAATTTAAGGAGCGGCTCGGGGCAAAATGGATCCCCCCCCACGCGAGGCCAGAGTTGGCTTGCCATCGGCGGTGGTCAGATCATCCGCGAGAGGAGGAGCCAAGCGAGCCCTTCAAAGGAGTGAATTTGATCGTAAGTTTGTGGGAATGTTGGTCATAATTTCTCCTAGCCTAAAGCCAAATCCGTTTTAGCGTCATTAAGGTGTAATTATTGAGAGTGTCTTTTGTTCTTGACGCTGGCCGAAGGTTACAACACGTACTCTAAAGTATGATAGTGCTGTAGTATCGTCGGAGCAGCTCACTCGAACTGTTGGCATTATAAAAGCGGTTACAATATTGTACTGTGTACAGTAGAGCAATGCTAAAATAACTTCCATCCACGGCGAGAGTCTCTAATCGAGTAGGAATATGACAGGCACTCGAATCCGCGGATGATATAGTGGACCGGTACTTTCTGTGGAGGAATCAAAGACTTCTCGTTCATCAGTATGTGATTTGGCAGCACTCTTTGACCTAATTCTGAGAGACTTTTCTTCTACAGGAGAGCAGAGGAGAAGAAACCAGAGAAGCTTTTTCTGAACTACAGTGGGCTCTCCAAGTTTTGTATCTTTAACCTGCATGATTCTGCATCCAAAAGTCCACAAAGTGCTGGTTTTCTTACAACACCTCCGCACATAGATGAGGATCAGAGTCCTGGTCTCATTATTTATTGATGGCCGCACGATGCACAAATGATTTGCATCAATCAATACGTCATCCCCAAATTAATTCGTGTTTTCTTCAGAGAAATCACGTTGCATCCCAGAGGAAGATGTACATCCTGCCATGCCACTCTCATCGTTTAGCTCACTAAATCCAGGCGTATAATGAAATACCCAAGAGAATCCAAAGTACGAAGTTGGGATCCAGAGATCTCGTTGGTGCTAATTTAGGAGGAATAATGATCAGAACTTGTGATCAACCTAGTCTTATCCTTCGCGACCCAAATTCAGTTTGGAGTTCGATCCTTGGACTCTTCTGCTCCATGAGTCACTTCATGCCTCTCTCTCTCTCTCTCTCTCTCTCTTTCTCTTTCTCTCATTCACGTTAGGGTTTTGTTGAAAACTTGCCCGTGTATCCTTCGACTCATTAAATCCCTCCTAGTCATGAAACCGCACCACAAGGTACACTTTTCTTTCTGCTATTACGCGCATCTTCAGCTTTTGACGAGCCTGCCAAGTTGAATCTGATTCAGGACCATTTGCTAGGGGAGTGATCAGTTCAGAGAGGACGTCCAATACAGTGAGTGAGGTGTACCAAATTACAGTGAGAGAGAGAGATGGATTGATAGAAGACTGGCGATGGATCACACGAGCTGGCACATGTGGTTACCACTCTGAGTCATGTGTCAAGCGACTTGGGCAAGTCACAGAGGCATCGTGGATGATGGACAGTTAGTTAGTTGACCTGATCAGAAACGACCTATTCAGCAGGCTTGGCCATAGTGTGTCCTTGAGCGTCCAGAGCAGGCAGTCAGTTCGGTGTGGGTCAATAGCAGTGGTACGTTATTCTGGACTATTGCTACCCTCGGGTGTCATGTTTCTCCGAGGTCGCGGAGCAAACCCAGTCAGTGGATTACGATTCTGGTTTATTCTACAATAGTGGCGCCCCTCTCGTATGTACCACGACTTATGACTTACGATAATTTGTTGCAGCAGATTAGGCACCCGATCAATCCACCGACTCGGTGCCACAACTTGCACTCCATCACGTATCAGGAGAAAAAGAGTAAATGGCGAAGAATGTGGTTAAAATTAATGACGTGTACTTGGTCAACTCCTGAAGCGTATTAGGCCCCCGGCGCGGTCAGATCCGGTGCAGAAAATAAACATAAACTTATTCCACCGCTCTCGTCTCATGAATGTTTTTCTGACCTCCTGCTGCGCCTTCGGACATGGGCGCCGAGAGCCCATTCGGGCCTCGGACCGCGATGTACGACGTTCTGGAACTCACAGAAGTGCGCATTAAATCCGACGCCGAGTGAGTGAGTGCGTATGTCGAACGAGCTGCAGCAGCAGGACGAGGGGTTGGGAGGGGGTAAGCTGGGGCTTAGGAAGGGGGAGAGAAGCACAAGCACAAGCCCCTGCCCCAGCCCCAACCCCGACCCGCAGAATTGCCACCGCCAGCAGTCTGAGAATCGAGTGCAGATCGACCAAAAAAGCGATTGCGCAATTCCACTTGGCGAGTTGGGGCCTGGCGAACCCTACCGCATACGGAGGCAAGTACAGGCCGGCCCACTCATGCGCTTACGTCGATCGGATTTCGCTCGCGCTGCCCATGTCACGCTCTTTGTTTGGGGCTCATGCCCGAACATCACGTTGGCCGGGGGGAGGGGGGAAGGGGGGAGGTCTGAGTCTGAGCCCCCCGAACTGCTTCCTTCCCACGGCGGATGCGACGTGTCGACGCACTGCGTCTTCGGACATGGGCGAGTATGCAACTGCGGGTGGCTAACTCGGCGCAGATTTGGAGCCCATGCACTCACTGCGAGCAGGCAACAGAGCACAAACCTGGCAAAGTACAGGAGGGCAGCGACATCGGGATTTGGAACGAAAGAGAAACCTTGGAGCGTATTGTTTATTCTTTTGACCGGGCGGACAGTTGACCCATGTGCGCAAGCAAGGCCATGAACATGACGGGCGAGGGGGGGGGGGGGGGGGGGGGGGGCGCGGGGGCTATGATCCATATCCCAGTATCGTGGGACTGTGAGGTGTGCTCATCTGCTCGAGCAGCAGGAGCCGGGAGGATTTGTCGAGAAAACACGTGTCATTCATTAGCTGGCAAAATGCTTCAGATGCGGCTCATAAGTATCGGAGCGTAACAGCTGTGACTCAGCGAGCAGAAGACGCTGCGCCATCGTCGCTCGATCGAGTGTGGCCACTGTGCGTTTATAGAAAAGAAGTTGTACATCTGTGGAAAATAGCACTCTTCTCCTGGCTTCCATTTTGGACCCGCCTACATTTCGACCTCAGCCCCTCTCTGCTCGCTCGCGCTGCGCCCGCATCAGACTCTGTTGATACCTCCGCCTTGCCCCCATTTCCGACAACTGGCCTTCGCTCTGGCTCCCTGCGACGCCCGATCAGATTGCCGCATCTGACCTACCGCTCTCAGATCGATCCTCTCGTCCAAAATCTCTCAATGAACGGACAAACGTGGCTTCCTCATGATGAGACTCTATCTGAGCACAGCCTACACACTTATTCACCTAATGAAAGATTCTATTTTTCCTAGCAGTGCTGTCGATTTTCGTAGTCTTTTGTATTCGAGGGCATTTTGAAGATAATTCGTCAGGTCACCCGTCAATCCTCTTTCGTACAAAAATATTTGTACCTCGTCTACAAGCCCTGCCGTCTCTTCCCTGCATCAGAACCAGATCGATCGTGTTAGTTCCTCACTGGTCTTCCACAAGTCCAGTTGGACTTTGTCTGAGCACACGGCCGACGCTTTAGACAGAGTAAACCGCCAAACCAAGCCCACGAAGCAAGCCTGTAGGGGACGTCCAGTGCGGGGCTTGATGGTCCACAAAGAAACAAAGATAACCTGAAAACCGTCGAGTTAATGGTTGGCAAAAAGTAGGGTAATAGCGATATATCCAAGGCTGACACCTTTACCAGAGGAGACAGTATTCCAACAGATCGAACTAGCTCATTTCCATCGGTCGGACGACTTTACATTTTTCACTCCAAAACTTTCGCGCAAAACACTGGATCAAGACACTTTGAAGAAGGAGCTTCCAAGTTAAATGTAGGTGCAGATTGCAATCGTCCATATGATGTGGGTGAAAAGCCTTGACCACAAAAGTACCCTTCGTGGTCAAGGCTTTTCAAAATTGTATCCTTCCAGCCAGCAGAGAAGGGCGAAGAACTCTAAGCAGCGTAATTCACGCCATCAACGAAAGTCGCTACGCCAACAGCAATGTTGAAGCCAATCGCTTTTGTGTAGAAGGAACAGTTAGACTAGCTCAACATTGTTACCAGCATCACTCACATACCCTCTTGTGATAGATCAATGTGATAATAGATTTACGAACAGATAGCAAACTAGACTTCCAGATGATCGTCAAATCATGAAGTCAACAAAGACGTGAAGTTAAGAAGTGGTAGAAGCAATCCAACAAATCATTAGAAGCAGATTATATTTTTCTGAAGTGGTTCTTAAACTCATGGAAGGATGTTTTCTGAACCTCTCTCTAGTCTGAATTCGACACTGAAAATGAAGAATTGAAAATCTGTAGTTCGAAATTCAGCCACTAACTGAAACATCACTCTTGAGTCTTCGATATAAACATCTGACGTCAGCATGTGAAGCTTGGCATAACTTCTACAAATCAAAGAGGAAAGTGAAATGAAATGCAAAATAAACAGTCTGTCTGGCCTCTATTTCAAGAATCTGTCAAGCAAGTGAAGGATAAGCATCAAGAAAAGAAGAAGGCTCAGGTTCCGCGAAAGGCTGATATCATCCTCAAACACAACATTGCTTCATCCGAGATATACAAATCCCCGAGCTGAATCTGCCACTTTCGGCCGAGTTTACTTTCGATATGTCCAACAAAAAGCCTTGCTGGCTGGAAATCTACAAGCTCTGACAGGCCCCTTGTTACAGATGGTTAGTTTCAGAAAGGAACGACACACCACTTTCTAACCTGTTTAGAATAGTGATAACTTGCAATCGACCGACACGAGTTTCTTTAAATCTAGCAGAGGAAGCCAACTCCTTACACCTTGTTACCTACAAAAAAGGCTTGCAATGCAGTAAAACAAAAAACAGCAAATGGAAAACTTCTAAAGCTGAACATTGCTTAGATGTGGAGTTTTCTTATGTTGTATACTTGTCAAAACCTTTAAAAAAAGGACGAGGACAATCTAAGATATTGTTTCGTAAGATCATCACCGTCTTTGCTGAGCCTGGCAGTTGATGGCAATCATCACAATTCTCAGTTAATCTGGATGATATTGTTTTTTGGAGGAAATGGAAATATATAACAGGAAGTAACTTTACAGAAAGTGTTCAGAAGAAAGAAATGCGTGGACGTGAATGATAACTGAAGTTACGTGAATTAGGAGTTAGGTGTACAGAGAAACATGGAAAAGGAATGAGAATAGGTCTTAAGAGAAAATGTCATTTCTTTTAAGAAAATATCACAAATTCATTATCGTGTTCGCAAGCTCGTATTTGTAAGACTGCAGAACACTGAGACAACCTCGCACTCCCAAATGCAGCCCCCATAAGAACCCCGCAACTTCCAGTTCACATCCCACTAGAAGGTCAGATAATTTCTTCCGGGCATTTCCATCTAAACAGAGAGGGAGACACAAAAAGAGCTATTAGGAAAAGTTCAGATTCTTACGAAAAATATGGACGGTAGACAGTCTCGCCCGGTGCATCGCTTTTCAAGTCAACCTGATGTACTGCAAACCCATCTCGGTATCCCTCACACAAAAGCTTCAAAACAGGATACTCAGCACCTTTCCTAATGGATATGGTGAGTTGCAACATCTTCTTCCTCATATCCGGATCCTCTCCCTGAACTGGATCCCGCTGGTAATCTTTTGGAACAAGTTGCAAGATGCAACCCACTGTAATATCTTCGAGTCCATATGTCCTTTCCAGGGTTATCTCCAATTCTCCGGGTTCATCCTTAACCAATTTAAAGGGCTTCGGAGGTGACCTCGACGCGATCGCCTGCAGAGACCCATTCTACATTGAGGACCAATTTCCAAATATAAAACGGAAAAATCATTTCAACCAGCGCAAATTCGAAGATTCATCTCACCTCTGCCTGCGTCCTCAAATCGTCAATCTCACACCGCAAAACATGAAGAAGACCAGTCGGATGATCCTCTCCAAGCAATTCCCCGCGCAATTGCGATTTATGTGCTGTAGCAAACGAGCGACTCAAATTCTCACACCTTGAACGACCTACGATACCGAAACCGCCCATCTCACCACCGATCCTACAGGCAAAACCCTTGGCAAGCGTACTGCTCGGTGCGCCTCCGGAAACGCCATGGCTGACGAGCCGAGACGATTGTAGGCCCCACAACGCCGCAGCAGCTGCAGTTCTCCGGCAGATCCCGACCCCCCTCATCGCCAAATCAGACGAGAATCATGGCAACCAGCCTCGTGCTGCTGCTCGTCTCTTCGGCCTCAGCGAAATTGCTCATCGTTGCGTCGATCGAATTCCATCGCCTGGGCTCGAGAATCCTCGTTATAAACCCTACGACGTTCTCGCTGCGTGCAGTCAGTACGCCGTCCTCCCTCGTTCCGACACGATCTCTGTCTCACGCAGTTGTCCGCAGTACGTACGTACGGTGACCGGTCAACTAAGTCACACACTCTCTCTCGGTCGCTCTCAGGTACAGGACACTGATGATGGGCTCGCCATCATGCCAGCCATTCAAACCATCCCATACCATGCCATGCATGCATCACAGGCTCAGAGTTTTCAAATCTCTTCTCTTTATTACGCTGCAGGCAGTCAGGCCGGCAGCCCGGGCTCGGGTCGGGTCGGGTCGGGCGGATGCGAAATGCAATTTTATATGCCCCGCCCGTTCCGCCCGGGCTGCTCCAAAAGAAGAACTTCGGCCGAAGGAAACTTGCACAGTCCACGGGTGAGTCAAAGTCGCTCCTACCGCCGTACGCTTTCCGAAGCTGGCACGTTTTGGCTCGGCCTTTGTCTTCGTCACAAGGTATCGTAAAGTACATAGCAGCTGCGACGTCAAAGATACCGTCTACGCCTTGCCGTGAAAGTGAACGACGGTTTCCTAGGGCCGTGTCCGGCCGTACGAGCAGGAGACTTTGCGCTCAGGTGGAAGTCCCGAAGCGTGGCCTTCGTTTGACAAATTACTATATCCTACGATTAATATAATCAAAGGTCGATTATCTGTTTGACATATTGCCAGGCTTCATCGTCTCGAATTACGCACGATTATTTTCTTCCCCATGTGCTCCGATGGGTCTCATTGGGAGGCTTCCTCCTCCACTTGCAGTAAGTTTCCTGCCCATTGCACCGCATAGTGATGGAGGGAGAGCACAAGGAGAGAAGACGCCATCATATCGTAAAGGTGTGAAACCGAAGGGCTAGAGCAGGGTTGTGCCCCATAGCCTCACAATGAGAAATGCATCTTACACCTTATTTCTACTTTCTCAACGAGAACGTGAATATACGAGTTGTACAAGCTATAACTCTGAAGACATGAAATTGATTTCTCATTTGAAACATTTAAGAAACGATCTGAAAATTTGATGTATATAATGGCAATGTGAACAACACTTTTCTTCACCCTACTAAGATAAGATCTTTTTTACAAAAAAAATTCCATAATACTACAGCATCAAAATAGTTATGAATTAATCTTATTGCTCTCAAATAGATTGCATAATCCGGTGCTTTATGTAGAACAATGAATAAGCGTGGACTAAAATAGAGTATACAAATTTTTTATATTTAAATTTGTTTAGCCTAGTATGCTCTCGCTAATGTGTTGAAATCAGCATCATTGACTTTATGGAATTCCAATAATAGAGTGATTTAAGGAAAAAAAACCCTTTGCATATATATATATACTGGAACATCTTGGTTATTGTAAGTATACTTGCTCTCCTTCAAGATATTTAATGAAACCAAACTGGTCTAAATTAGGATTTGTGAACACAACTTTAGCAAAAAAAAATATACATCCAAACCAAGTAAAGGTATGTTTCAGTATAAATTGATAATAAGGAAAATAAATATTCTGTGTCTACTTATTTTTTCTACTCTACTCTTATCCTGCAAACATCACATTTTATTGAATTTGTGTTCAGTCATATGTTTTAAAAGATACACAACAAGTTGTATTATATCATTGTTTTTTGATAATACCATACCAACATGATGAAGATGCACATTGTTGATCCAAACCAATATATTTAACAAATTCTAAAAGATTATAATTTTAAAACCATGATGAATAATACAATCATTTTTAAGTAATTTTTCTTCACAAAGTCAGTTTGTTCATGGAATTAAACAAGGTAGTTATTGCAATCATATATTTCAAACGCGGCATGTAGATTTTATTTATAGTAGAATACGGTTTTCTCTATGCAATATATTTTTGTTAAAATCTTTGATAAAAACAACTAGTTTAAAACCTACTAGCATTTTCAAACTCTAACAGTTGTATTTAGATGATAATCAGATTTTTTTATAGCTATAAATTATGAATCAAAGTATATGAAGAAAATTACTCTTTAGAATAAAAAAATGACTTACACTATGACATCTTGAATCTCAAGACAGCAAGATGAATGTTGATAAACTAATGTTTAAAGTCCATCTAATTATGTTTATGCAAGCAAAAAACATATCATTTTCACAGTATTCAAACACACAACAATGTCTGATCAAAGTAAGAATATGCGTTTGTAAAAAAAATTCCTGAATTTTGGAAAAATTTTTTAAAAACTAACAAATTATTAATAAACTTTTTACTATGATTTTTGATTTTTTTATATGAATAAAAAAATAAAATAATTTGAAGATTAAGAAAAAATAAAAAACACGAGACAAAATTTAACATCGTCATAAGAACCACTCAATTCTTCAAAGCTCCCCATTCTCCCTATTCGTGCGTGGATTTGGCCTGGCGAGAATATGTTCAAGTCTGTCTGTTAGTCCGACAGAAGAAGTGACTTTAGCCGTACTCAGGTTAGTTAACTCACCAGAAAAGGAAGATAGAAAGTTCCAACGGAAGGTTGGAATCTGGGCTTGCAGTTTCAATCTAGATAGATTATTGTTGAAGTCAACTCACGTAAAGAGATGATTGCTTTCTTCTGTTTGAAAGATTTTCCTATAAAGCCCATAGTCAATTGACAGCAATTTGTATCAGCGAGGTGCTTCGAAACCATATGATTCTTGGACCTCCATCCATTTACACCAAATCATGGTTGTGTACATCATGTTCTGACTCACATCTTGTTCTAAATTGTTTTGGGTAATCAGCTGAAAATTCAAGAGATAAGCGGAAATGTCTGATCTACTACGCAAAGTATAAGACAATCTAGATATTTCAAAATACATTTGAAAGAAGAACTGTAGAAGAAGCTGAAACTTTGGAGCGCTTACGTTGGATATCAATAAATTAATTGTTTTATGTCCTCAACCTGCCTAGTCATTAGCAGTTTCCTTCATACAATATGGTATCAACTCAGATGTTGTTGACTTGCATGATTGTAAAGCATACATGAGGTAATCATGCCACGGTGCACAAGGTATGAGTTCTAAGAGGAATCTGGAAACATCCAGACATACAGCAGTTAGTGTAGACTTGTCATCGCGTTAATTATCATCCTACATATTTGTCTGATTGTGATATACTACTTCTCAATAGACTTATCCCATAGCACAAACTCAGGTTGCTGGAAATTAATGCAGTAAGTTGTGGTATTAGCCGGAAATAGAGATTCACGTAAAGAATTGTAATATTGGTAATCTAGTCATCACCACATGAAACAAACTCAACTCTGTATTGAAAAGAAGAATGCACATGTTACTGTCTGTACTTATTTCACAGTGAAAAACTCTTTGGAGCCTCCGAAAGATCCCCATTGGAACCTTGGACTCTATCCTCGTAATCTTAGCATCTCAATACGGGATCTTGGCAAAATTGCAATCATGCAACAAGTGTCGTCTGTCTTCTCCCGTCTATCACGTAAAGTCGGGCATCCATCCACAGTCTATAATATCGAACTCCGAGGTTTTGCTTCGGAAAAATATCCCACCATAGAAAAGTATTCCAATATCCATGGTAATAAAGGAAAAGAAATAGCATCTAGACAACGAAAATCATATGAATGCATGGCTTGCACTTGAAATGTGTTGTGTGCACATATATATTCCATCTTGATATATGTTATTGTTAGGTTAATCATCACGATACGTGGACGGCTTATTCTATGGATGTGGATTTTCACATGTTTGTGATGAAGTGCACAAGACTTATTACTGAATTATGAGTCATAGATTTTATTTTTTTTCTTTCTAATATAAGCAACACAACATGTTAGAAAAATTAATAAGTAAGGTATTTGTAAAATAATAAAACAAATTTCATATTGTAGGCAATGTGTTTATATTCATTACATTGAAAATCAAGATATCATATATATTTAAGAACAAGCGACTTAGATAATGTAACATTGTTTGTTTGTGGATTAAATAGTAGATATAATTTAAATATTATAGGTTTTTATGACATTTTTATTGTGAAATTTTTGGATACTATACCTGGAATAGTGGAAGAGTTCATACCACATAGATTTTGCAAAGCAAGATTACCTTAAAAACTAATCCTTGATTTACTGTAAAAGTTTCATCCTTGTTAATCTTGATAAGATTTACCCATCAATTTTTGTTAATGACTTGATATACTTCATTTTAAGCTGTAAACTTCAATATAAAATTTGTATTACATTTTTTTACTGAATATTTCACTTAATCACTATGTTAATGATTCCAATATAAATAAGAATTTAAAGTAAAAACAACACATTTTGATTTTAAATAAAATTTTTTCATCTTGTTATAAATTTCTAATCATAAAATAATTTCTCATTTTCAATAAATTCTTTAACAGCAACCAAATCCAATACTACGTCAGTTGTTATGACTAAAATAATTGTATTGCTTAAGCCATAGTTTTTTGATTATATTGTTGGCCATAATGGGAGTGTTGTTATGATTTTAGTGTTTATTGCACGTTTTCACAAGCATAAGCTTCCCTTATTCATGAATCTGCTTCAACTTAATGGCACATATTATATTAGCTCTGACTCAATTCATATTTTGAAATATGATTGTCGATGGAAGTTATTAAAATTCTTATTTAGTGACATGTGAACAGAAAAAGTTATTGATAGTTCAAACAAAGTGATGACTTTAATTCAGTATTATATTTATTAACAAAATACGTACATAAATATAAATATATATTCAATCTTTTAAATTGAGACGTGGTAATATTTTTCACTTCTCCAAAAAATTAATTTACATTCAAAGATATATACTAAAAATTTTGAAATTCACTACAATCTAAATTCATGAGTAATTTTTGTATTAACTCAAAATATTTCAAATTTAGCTCAATAAATTATAATGCAACAACTGATAAATTATAAATATCTCCGAATATAGGAAAAAAATTATATTTCTTAAATTACTTTAACAAGTTTCTGAATTTGTTACAAAAAAAAGATATATTGAAATTTTAACGTTTTAAAGCCATAAACTAATATATTCTAACAACATCATCTGAAACACAATGCTATCAAAGAGAGTGATAGAGGTGTAATTTCTTTGCTTCATGCAATTTTGTCAATTCCAAAACGGAGATATATCATTTAAAACCGTAACGCTTAATAATTTATAATGCTAAAAATTAACCATTTTGAATCATCGGTCAAAGGCTTAACATGACTTTAACCTTGTTTGTTTCGACAGTTTCATCAATAGAAGCGATAAATGCATAATACTCTTTTCATGATGTATGCTTGTCAAATAAACTGGACTGTTAGAGCCACATTGATAAACTCCAATACTCTGCTAAATTGGAGTTTATTAGCAGAGTATTGGAGCTAAGAAAACTTTGGTCATTTGAGTCAGTCTCAATTGAGCCAAAGGGGGGTGATTGAGTTTAGACTTTCTTCTAAGGTAGAAAAATCTCCAATAAAACAATATCTTCCGACTCTAAACTTACTAAGACTGATCTTGCTTTAGTCTGTTACCATAATAAATCGTCTTCTAGATAATTTATGAGTAAATAAGATCTATTTCCACATGCAACAGCAATATTTTTGCCATCCGACTCAGTGACCCAAAAGATATTACTTTATCTTGTATACAAAAATATCTGATCACAGGATAGAACCCAAATGACGGTGAAAACTCCCCAGTAAATTCTTGCCTACTGAGTCAATCTCAGTCGACCTGAAAGAAAAATCACTGAGTTTGAAGTCTCTTCTAGCCAACTAAATCACCAGAAATCTAAGGGGAGAAAACTTAAAAGATATTTCTAGAAGTGAATCAATGTCAAATAAAACCAACCGTCAAGTCAACCTTGCCACCACATGCGGCTAAGTTGTAACTTATGTTGGAATAAATTTGCTCCATCTGTTCAATAATTTATATGTATGACAGTTCAAACAAAGAGACATATACATTGCAGTCCGGCACATTATACTTCACTCTGTAAAATATCCAACATTTCAGTTTATGGCGACTTTTGTTCTTCTTTTCTACGCCCTGTTACACGATGTCCCGGAGTTTAGTTGATGTAAGCAGTGATATACTTCTATAAAGAGGGAATGAATGACTCGAGGAAGTTGCACCACCATGAAGACTAAAACTCATTGTCCACAGAGGAGAGAATCTATCCATTCCGTTTAATTTATTATTTTGAAGATCTGAGTGGATTGACAGGAGCCATGCAGCCATGCACATAGTGGTTTGTCGGTGCTTGTATACCAATCCTCTTCCAGAAGACGTATTCACCTGAAATCAGATTTTTAGATCACTGTATTGTTGTTGATCACAGAAAGATTCTTCGGCTTGGGCAGACATGAAGCTCTCACTGTAGGTGAGAGACGACACGTGCAAAGGAACCGAAGTGGAGAATCCTCTAGGCCTCCACTCGATGTCAGCTTGGACAAACGACACTGGCTGCATGAATGATCGTGACGCTCGTCCTATCTGGTCTGGGGGAATGACATTCATTACGGGATGGGCAAATGTCCCACACTAGACTGGTGATCTCGCGTGTGTTGGGTACAGTTGCCCTTCCTTCCACTTCGGCTTTCGATCCTGGCTCTGAGTGATTCGTTTTATAAGTCCACTTTATGACTTTTCGGTGTCATGGTGAAGCACATCGTCATTCATTCTACTAATGGAGCGTAGCCAGACTGTTCGCATGACTGCATACGCTTCGGTTTACGGTGGCAAATCGGTAGGCTCCTTATGCGCCAAGTGACGGTGCTCGAGTTGGGGTCAATGAATGTAGGACTTAAAGAGCAGAATACCCGAAAGATGAGATGACAGATTTCAGTGGTCACTACGGTACGGGATGCATGATGACGACGCGTTCGTACGCGTGGGGAGGTCTTCGATGACCCCTGATTGATTCCCCGCAATTGGACACAACCCAAGAATCACAACGAAACGACTGACGCTCAGTTCAGCTCAAATCGGCTTACCGGTACGGTGTGGGTTTCAAGCTCGGATCCGAGGTATGCAAGAAAACTGACATCTTTATTTACACTCAAACTTCTTGGCCGACATACTGAACTCTAGGAAGGTCATATATGTACTTCTTTCCTTGAGCAACGACTTTGGAGCACTACTCTGCTGTAGGGACTAACACCACCTCTCCTCTCGACTCAGTTTTAACAGGAAAAAATTGGAAGCAGCAAATGTGTCATGAAATCTATTTTGGGGGAGCACAGCCCCTGGCACTTTCAGTGTGTGAGGATGTACCTTTCTTCCTCCGAGAAATCCTTTTGCTTTACTCTGCAAAAGATTGGATCAAGCTTTGAATATGCTAACAGTAGACACGCAAAGGTGCTTTACCTCCGATGGAGCAAGCGAGTTAGCATGGAGGAATTTTGTTGGTACGGGGTGGGGGCTGGTGTTTGTGGGGAAGGGGGCAGAGCTCAGCATAGAAACTCTGAATAACAAATCTCACGCTCGGTCACTGATGAGTGTGACCCGTGCTTGACCCAGCTGGCAAAACAATGAATTTTCATTTCATACATGGAATCAGAGTACGTAGTTTTCCCACCCAATAATTGGAGGAAAGGCTAGTTGGAGCTTCTATTCTACTGTTTTATATACTCATTTCGGGATTGGTGGAGCGCAAGCTAGGCGGCTTCCATAGCGTTGCAAAGATTTGTCTTTGTTGGGCGAGGACGTGGAGTTTGTAAGTGTGCTAGCTTGGCGTGTTAGCTTCCGCTTCTCCTCTGCAGGCAACAACAGTGGCATGAGAATCATACCTAATCCAGAAGTTAAGTTTCTACTTAATTCGACGAGAAACCGACCACATGAAAGACAACATACTGTACCTCGCTTCATTTCCAGCTCGGCTTGGAGCTCCTCCTTCCATAACCTCTGGCGCTCGGACGAATTCAAGCTGCAATTAGACATAGCACTTTAGATACAAGCGCTGTGCTATTGGAGAACCGTCTTCGGCACTGTTATTCTCCTGAATTTGTGGATAATTGCTAACCAAATGTCTACTGCAACATCATTGAGCCTTTAGTTCTGTCAACCAATATATGCCTTTCGTGAATATCCTTTGATATTCCTAATCCAAGACACTCTGAACATTAGCTCAGCTAGGCACTGATAAGTCGCTTCGTGAGTCACAGGTGTCAATTAAACTATGAATTTTTAAACCGCATGCATTTCATGAATTATCAAGAATGTGTACCTGGGGCTAGGAGGAGGTATTCCACATTGTGCATCATGAAGTAATCCCTTCCATTCGTTAAGCTTAGGTGAAGGGACTTCCACAAGAGGAGAGAAGTTAACACTGGGAGCCCCATTTGCACTTGGGCTGCCCGAACCAACGCTTTGTTCGCTATCTCTACTGCTTCGCAAATTGATCGAGCGCCCACTCAAGCTGCTCCTTTGACTTGGAGACTTACTGCTCGGTGATTGCTTCGGAGGCCTGGCAGGAGATGGACTCAATGGAGCAATGAAGCTCTCTGACGGCCCTGTTTGATTCGTATTCCAAATGTTGTAAAGCTCCTCAAAGAGTGGAGTTTGCAATCGCTTCAGCTCCAGAGCCTGTAACATAGCAACCAAATGAGTTGATATTGACTGTCAATTTGAACATGACGATGAAAACACACTCTTCAAATTGAACACATTACTAAAGACTGAAAAGCCAGAGACAGGATTTGTCATTGATGAGACCCATTGACATCACAGTTACACTGAAATCAGATAGATGAAAGTGGCCACAACAACATTACCTTCTCATCTAAAAACGCCCTGATTTTCGATTCCGTCACATCGTCATCATCATCTTGAGCGCTATCGCCTACACCACCTTCACGGAGAGAAGTTGGTGCCTCTTCACTTCTGTCGCAATTTCTGAACGTCAAGTCTGTTCTTGGATTATCAGCCCAACCATCTCCCTCTCGAAGCGAAGGTTCTGACATGGGATTGAAGCTCTGTGGTTCGCACATTGGGTTGTAACTCTGAGAATATTAAACAGAAATTGTTAATCTAAATATCCACCTCAGCTGGAAGAAAAGAAAAACAAGTCACTAACGTATCCAAATCCATGAAGATACTCTGTAATGTATGTACACCACATCTGTTCCAACCAGGCAAGTGCGAAATGAACCCACCTCGGTAAGAAACTCGCTTCTCACAGAATCCAGTCGCACAGAATGTCCTGCCCCAGTCTGATATGAGCTTCTTACAGAATCAAACCTGACAGAGTTACCTGCACCAGAGAAGGAGTCGCATCTGACAGAGTCAAGCCTTACAGAACAATTCATGTCGTTTCCATAAGACATTTCAGCCTTTTGTCCATCGAGTCTTGAATCCCATGGCTTAAAACTGTCGGTCCCTTTCAAAGTTGAAAGCCCTTTGCTTAGAGGAGAGCTGTAATGCCCAGGTTTTAAAGATGCTGGTTTGAAGGATCCGTCGCGACTGAACAACAACATGTACAGAGTTAAAAATCGTTTGTAAACTCTCATGTTAGGCCGTTTGCGCATTCAAGTGACAAGACCATGTCCTTCAAGCTAGTCCGTTACGCAAGTCGAGAGGCAGTACAATTGTATCTACCAAGAATACAAGTCGGAGAAACTGCAATATGTGGTAAAAGTTTGATGAACTGTACGCTATTCTCGCTTCACATAAAGTGGTAAAATGACACGTACATGCTAGTGTAAGTTCTTCCGATGGATCGTGGAGAATTGCCGTCCTTGGATAGCAACCCCTGCCCAGAGCAAAAGAACGTGGTGAGGACCAAGAATTTTGGATATTCCGTTAGATCTTTCAACAAGTTTATTCAATTTCAAGTTATGCTTGTAGATTAGAAAAATAAAATGTTCCTCACTGACATACCGAATTGGCTACAGAAGACCGCTGCTGCGAAATTTTGGTACCAGATGATTCTTCACGAAGTTGCTCAGTTACGAAGGGATGCTATACACGGGCAAGAATAAAAATCAGGGTTTAGTACACACATTTTAGTAATGCAACTTGACATCCAGCACAAAATAGAATTTGGATCAAACAGGATCGTTCTTTTTTCCAAAGACTACTACTTAGCTCTTCAATCCTCGTCCACAAGCAAGGAATTTTTACATGGAACATGACCGCACCTGTAAAAGATCAGCAGCGCTCGGTCGAAGCCTCGGTTCCCTGTGAGATGTAGGCCACACCGATGAGTCCCAGGACCAGTGCGTTTGTTTTTGACATTAGAGTTCTCCGAGTTGGAGTTAAAGCCGAGTTGGGCAGAAAGCGCTAAATTATTATCTACTATACTCGATTATGTAGCTGCAACTTAAAGAATTGCGATTGTTAGAAACCCCATCTAATATGAGGGATTACCCACCTTTGAAGACACTTCAAGAGAAAGTTCTTGCCATTAGCCGACAGGTGCTCTGGAATTGGCGGGTGAGATTTTGTTGTTCCAATGTGGAACAAAGCAGCAACCTGAAAGAAACGGCAATTTTTCACTGAATTAGGAACTAGAAATCGAGATAAAGTTTTTGAAAGACTGGTCCTTATTCCTCCTGATAGTGGCTAGTGGGTTGTTGGAACACGAGATTTTGAAACGAACTAGGGACTCCGCGTGGAGATGAAGCCAGGACTGCACCTTACATTTAAGGGAACGTGGGTTCATCTTTACAAAAGTCCCCAGCTGGCAACAGAAACAATTTGCATTCTGTGCAGCATTATATGGGTGTTTCCAGTTAGATAGACAGACTGGACCACAATGTAAGATGATTTTAGAGGTCCAAGGCGAGCGAGGTGAATGACGAGTCTATTGACTACGATATGATATCTGACGACTATGGAACAACTTTCGCATTATGTTAGAGAGCGAAAGTCAATGTAAGTCCAGCCTATCAATAGAGTGTTTTTCCTCGAGTTATTCATTGAGGGCAGAGTTGTGAGCTTCTAACAACCTCTTGAAACTGTTGACTCCACGGAGGCTTGCCCGTCGCCATTTCGATGACCGTACACCCTACACTCCATATGTCTGCTTGCCTTTGACACCAAAACCAAATTGAATGCCCAGAAACCAAGTCAAACTCTAGCTGGATAGACACCAATGATGTATGTAATCCACAGAATCGCATAGATTTACAATAGTGAACGATGTGTACTTGATGACTTCAGATAATGAAAGCAAACTTTTTAGCGCTCTTTGAACTCCACTGGGGGACACGGTCATCTACCAGTTGTGACCCGTTTGCCGAATAACTTCTGGTGCCATCCAATAAGGTGTTCCTTTCATCGATTTCGCCTCAGAAATTGTTGCCTGTAAGCACTTGCAAGTTAGAACGTTGGACTTTGCACTCTTTCTGCAAATACTACCAATTGAAGCGATGGTGAAATATGTCAGAGTACACACATGCTCTCATTTCAAGAGATGACCAGTAATTCATAAATATCCCAGAATGGCAAATTAATATTTCGCCAGCTCAGTTCGAGACCAATTTCTTCCTCACAACGGGGTATTGTTGCAAACTACGGACAGAAGACGTATAATATAGATGTACATGAGGTGCATCACTCTTCGTTCTCTGCGAGATTTTTCCTTTTACTAAGCGGCTAGGTTTTAAAAACATAATCACCATACTCGAATATTGTAAGTGACTTCAAACGCAGGTTCGGTAGATATTTCATCCACGCTCAACTCTAAGTCCGCACTCTAGCAGGGCTCTAACAACTGGCTCACCTTTGATAAAGAATCAGAACTGAGATTTTTTAGAAGTGAATATGTCTAAAATAGAAGTCACATACATTATGTGTCACCCCTCTCTTGGATTTAAAAAAATATTAGCGAGTATTGCTTTTGAGATGCTATGAGAATGTTAACTATCCCGAAAACCTCGAATTGAAACAACTGAAAAGAACACGGGACGTGTGACGAGGTCTGATGCGTCTACAAAGAAAATGAGATTGATGAATACTGTCGAGTAACTGCAACACTTAGCCGCTACACTGCAATGGGACTGTACAAGCTGTGTCACGCCCTATAATTTTGAACGAGATTTCAAAAAAACAAAAAGCATAAAAAATAACTACTTGAGGTAGAATCCAAGGTTTTAGAGACTTGCCAGCTCAACCACTTTCTTTGAAGCACCGAAGTCAGCAAGTTTGATGCATCCTTTATTATCCACGAGAATATTCGCACCCTGAAAACCCGTCAAAAGAAGGCTACAAAATTTTGAGCTTCGCCCTTGAATTACGTAAAAACAGGTAGAGAGGGAGTTTTAGCTCGCTGTCATTAAATTATCTCACCAGCAAGATGCCTCACCTTGATATCTCGATGCAAAATGTTGTTACTGTGCAAGTACTCCAGCCCCAAAAGCAGTTGTCTAGTGTACATCCGAATCACCTGCAAGAGATATATTCCACAGCGCAGAAGATTTTACAAAATCTAAAGTCGACGCTAACGAAGATAGATTCACGGCAGACCTCAGCAAGAAATTCAATAAAAAATGGTAGCGGGGATCAGTTTGCATACCACGACACTCCTTGGTTAATCTACGGTGAATCTGAAGGTGTTCACATCAAAAGTTGGATTTGCGTTGTAGAGGACTTACTGGTTCGGTGAAAGATCCAAATTTCCCCAGCAGTGAAGCTATAGATCCACCGGGGACAAATTCAAGGAGAATATTCAGCGCTTTTTCTTCTCGAGCGGTGCCTAAGTAGCGCTGATGAAATTCCACACGTCACGAAGCATGAAACAATTAAATTCTTGGGAGTGTATATGAATCTACAGAGAATGATATCAACTAGCAGAAAGATCTACTTATCTCCTGCTTCACGTGTTCAATTTTTTTCTTAAATTCTTTATGAATGACATCGCCAAAGAAATTCCTGGGTTGCTTCCAACTGGAATTTCAGGCGCAATGCTGTTCTCCGAGTCGAATGCACCCCTGAAACTCTTCACCTAGCTGTACTCAAGAAGTGTGGCTCAGCCAGTAGGGCTAACACTTCCCCCTGTGATTTGAGTCACTCGACGACATGAATTGAATGAATCATCACATCTGCTGAACATCATGGGTTCATGAATCCGATGGGACGTACCACAATGTTTGGGTGTGAAAGGTTGCGCAACAGCCTCACTTCCTCTTCCAACTCCCTGATGTGAGCCTGCAGCCGTAGTTTAATCAAGGGGCCAGATCAAGATATGTGTCAGAGAGGAAATGTGTCCATGAGTGAAGGAAATGAGCAACAACGTATCCATTATTTTGAAAGTTATTGGGGGAACGTATCCATTATTTTGCACGGTTAACGCTGTATGGAAGATTGAAGCGAAGGATTGAGGTCTACTCACTTGAGCTTTCTCTTTCGTGACGTTATTCACGGTGATCAGAACCTGTGACACGCCAACACAGAACTACTTAATAACTCCTATCTCACATGAGAAAAGACATTCTCTGCAAACTACGTGTATATGCCCTTTGACGTATTCTTATATATGACACGTCTACTCCGCCCTCCGCGAACAAGCTTTGAAGAAACTCCTTCAAGATACCGTCTCCCCGCCGGAGAATCCAGTCTTCCACCTCCACAATACCACGGACTACTGCCCTTTACCTCACACATTATCACGTGAATTTAATCAACTTATTGCTCTGTATCTAGCCCTTTCGCAATCTGGAGCCCTTCATATTACTTATACCAAAGTTCGCCAAGCCCAGCAACCCATGAGCGCTTCTTGAATTGTGACAGAATTGAAATTGGTTCAATTACCGAAATCAGCACACTGACCGGGCCAAACACTGGACCAAAAACTACTTCACATCACGCCTCATAATTTTTCCTAACTCGCGTATAACCATTTCGAGCCAGTGGAGACCAAATCATACTGTAATGGAAGCACTTTTGAGATAGTTACAGAACCGCTACTATTGAATCGTAAACCACACCTGCTTCACAGCCAGCAGCTCCCCGGAATCGAGGTTCATGCCCATATAGACTCGTCCATAAGCTCCGGCTCCGATAATTTCCCCTTTTCGCCATCGGATTGCCCTGGGACTACAAGGCCTCGGCATCGTTCTATCACCTGATATCTGATCCCTGCCACCACCCTTTCCCTGCATGCCCTCCCGTACCCAGCTCTTATCACATCGTCATACGCAACTCCAGACAACTGACTCCGCACACACCTTCCCCGGGTCGTCCTCGTCCAGCTCTCGATCTCCACTCCTGTGCCTTCTGCTCTTCTCTGCTCTGCTTCTGTTCTTCCCCCTCCCCCTCCCCTCCACACCCAAATTGCTCACACGACTACAAATCTCCCGATTGCCGCCGGCACAAATCCGAGCTCCACTTCGACACCAGCTAGCAGCATAGCATCGCTTGCTTCCTAGCGCGAGTTCCTCGCAATGGCGATTTGCTTCGCCTGCCGCCCGGCGCACGATTCCATGGAGATTCAGAAAAGTGGACAGCGATCTGGAGCTGCATGAGAGAGAGAGAGAGAGAGAGAGAGAGGGAAGCTCGATGTGCTGCAGAGAGAGAGTTCAGGGGGGAAGAGCAAGAGCGCCAGGCCCGGCCTTCTATCGTCGATGTTTGATCTGATGGCCACTGTCGCCCACCAGATCGTGCCTCCCGAGCGAGTTTAAATTCTGGGCAACGGTAAAGCGCGGCAACGGTCCTTTTCCCAATACCATCCACACCGATCGGGCGCCGCATGATCTGCCTGACGGACTTGCTGTGTCCTTTATACTACTCGTATACGACTCTCTATACGTCGTGTATCGAGTACTTCCTTTGCGCAGAAGCGGTGTCAGATCAGAGAACGGTTGGGTCCGAATCATCAACGGGAATTACTTCAGAGGAAAGGAAAATGGACGAGAACACTATGGGAAAGGCAAATCGAAAAATATGTTCTCCACCATCTACTAAACCCGAATTATCTTTGCGTGACATGAATGCCTAGCTGCTTCAGGTAATATCTCAACGTGTAAACTCACCATCGATTTGGCTAATCGAAAAAGGGAAGCTCGTGAGTTTCACATACGTTCCCACATGATAATTTCATTATCAAGCGGACGCTGACCCATCTCCTTTTGTCCTTACACTGTAAGGCCTAGAGATTTAGAGCTTTGCAAGTATTTACATGTACTATTTGCGTATACTACAGTATAGATGGACAGAGCAGAATAACCAGACGGTTCAACGGGAGACAAAATAGTACAGAATACAAAAGGATGGTAGTACTGTACTGGATGATTACCATAAGGTTGAAATCAAGGGGGCGGATCACCGGGTGGCTAATTAGCCGTCACACTACTATAGGGAGTTCACTCATCAGTTCATTTGGGTTAAAGGTTCCGTGTGATGAAAACTAAACTTAGCAAATTTCCAATGTACGCTTAATCTTTCTTGCCATCTCTATGTTCAAGTAGCCACGTCAAAAGTCTGGCAGCAAAGATTGACTCAATGGAAGGAATTTATGATTAGCCATGGAGAGTTCTTCGTGAACTACGTCCACTTCAGAATATGTTCAGGCTCAAGGGGAGGGCACTACCAACGCTGTGTCGAGTCAGTTCCAAAAGTTCAGCTTCGGTCGTGGAGCATACTCTTGGACTTGTTCTTGAGTCTTGGGTGTACTATGAATGAGACTTATGAGGTTTCGCGTTTTGCGACGCGACATTGATTGGGATCAAAATAATGTTGAGTACACGTGAATTTGATGGTCTAGTGGAGTGCAAGAATTGTGTGCGTTTAGTCCGTATGAATGTATGACCTGTTCTCTAATCAAGATTGACATTCGCGATGGCAGGCTTGTGTGACATTGCAGGCTGGACTTTATGGTAGAGACGTGCTAAAACTTAGGAAAGAACTCTCCTGATCCTCCCAAGGGTGTGTAGTTATTCTCGGTAGGGAATAACTCTTCATGGTTGAGTAGAAATTCATTCCAATGAGCCCGTCTCCGTTGCTAGGCTTTCGACGTGGCTACTCGAAGGCGGAGGTGGCCGTCATGGTTTCTTCGTGGCAAAAGTCAGGGAGTCATCTTTAACATCGATCATAAAGAAACTCACGAAGTTTAGTTTTCACCACACAAAAACTATAACCGAAATGAACCAATGAATGACTTCTGTATAGTAGGGTGAGGGCTAATTAACCCCAAGTGATGAATAATTAACTACCCCGAAATCAAATGTGTTACACGGATATGATTCCCAATAGGAATTCCAATAGTGCCTCGATGAATAAACTTCCTACATGACTTGACAAGTTAAAGCTATTTGGCTTACCAACCTATACATGACATGAGCATTGAATTATTCTTTATATTTTAAGATTCTTAATTTTGTGAATAATAGACAATATTCAAATGTAGGAATTCAAATATTATGTTTATTTGAAGCAAATGACTAAATGTAAAGATAAAACATAAACCATGGTAAATGGTAATGGAAATTAATAATGAAAATCTATGTGCAAATTAAATACTTACATATATATTCTATAATGCATTTATAAAACGTTAACATTTGTTAATCCGTACTATGCGTACTTAAGTAATAAGAACATAAACCACAAAATCCCATATTGTGTTTCTAACATGATCTAATGATAGTCAAAAGAAATCAATCTATACTCAAAATGTTCGAACCTTACCAATTCAAATCAAATCCATTTTCTTCATAATTGTGAATCCAATTTATCGTCATATTCACTTTTATGTTAATTAGTTTGAAATTTCAAATATTTTTTATCATCTCTATCATACAATATTAGTTTTCATATATCAGAATTTGTTTTCAGGACTTCAAAATCATGTCATTGTTAAACTTTTTTTATTTTGTATAAATCTTTGCTTGAAATACAATGAGCGTAACCAATATTTATATTCTTGTTATAGCAACATCCAACTGCAACATGAATAAAATATCTTGTAGAGTGAGTTATTTGATTTCGTAAATTACATATAGTCTGATTAGAACTATATTAAATAAATTAAGATAAATATCAACATAATGCAATGTGAAATTACCTATAAAATAATTGATATTTTTATGATGTCATTACAACTGTTGGTATCCTGATTAAAGCTTTACTTTCAACTTGTTGAACTATCACCAAATATGAATTACAGGTCAACAATCTTTATGTTTGTAGTGTTTTAATCTACCCAAAGATGATAATAATATTCTTAATATAATAAAAAATGTTAACATATGATATAAAATATCATTTTAAACTGAAATATATATATATATATATATATATTGGATTCATTTTCTGTGAATTTATCATCCGCATCAATCATAAAGCTTTGTAACATAGTGTTTATTTGCCAGCGGATAAAAGATTATGTGTGCATGTTGATATATCTCATCACTCTTTGTGTTAATGCAAATGAACAAAATATCAAAATTCTTATATAACTGTTTAGTTAATGAGTATATGTTCACAATGTTAAGTGATGAACATAAATTTAAAATGAGAATTGTGAATCTTGAAACTTTAGATGCTTAGAAAATACATATGATACTTATCAATTTGATAAAAATATCATTTTTGAATATTTTATGTATAAAAAATACTGTATGGAAAAATAAAAATAAAAACACATTTGATACAAATGTAAAATAAAGATCTATGTCACATAAATTTTCATTGTATCTAATGTATTTTTATCTTATACAATCAAAATTGCTTGTATATGAAAATGTTATTTTGTTAAAGCCACTATAGATTTCATTTTGTTTGTCTTTGATGTTAGTAAAACTAATAATAACAAATGCAAGTGATAGGAAATTATTTTTTAATTCATATATGTGTGCAAATATGAATTTTTTTTGCAGAATTTATTATCATTTTATATCATATGATATTTTATTTAAATCTGAAAGCAAAAAATTATTTTTATGTAGATTATTTATAAATTGATGGTCAATTGTTAGCTAAAAGTCCATAAAATGAAATTGTTGCAATGATGCTATTAATCACGATGAGAATGTGAATTCATGATTGAGATAGAATAACGTATGTTTGAAAAATTTCCCATATAATAAAATTCAATATTTTTAATTCTAATTATAAAATATTTTTAATAATATTAAAACAATTAATAAATTAAAATTTCCTCCATAATAATTTTTCTTGTTTCAAATCTTATCAAAATTATTAATTATAAGACTTCTGAAATTTATTCTTCTATTATTTTTTGGTTAAATTTAATCTTTAATAATACCATAATTAGTGTAAGAAAGAATAATTTAAATTAAAATATTCATGGATTTCTTCAATTTTTTGAATGATGCATGCTTTTAACATAATTTCAGTGTTTGCATAAATTAAGGTTTGATATTTATGACATTCAAAAAAATTCAAATATTTTGGAAATATTGATAAATTTCAAATTATTTTTAATTTTTCTAGGTTTATCACATTTTTTATCAAATTTTCTGATGTTGTTTCATTTTAATAAATCTTATCTTGTATAGATCTATTATACTAAATGTAAAATAAATTTTCTTTCGATTTTTACAAATACAAAATTTCTAAATTGAGATATTAGTTCATATGCGTGAAAAAATATTGAAAATCATCATATATATATTTTAATACATGATTCAAAATCTATTTTGATTCAAAAAGAGTTATTCATACAACTTTCTTTTGAGTCCAAAATCAATCATATTAATCGTGTTAAAGTTGTGTACTTGAATTAAACAAATATTGCTGAACAGATGATGCTAGTTCCCTTTCTGGTCACGTTAATAATGGAAATGGAAGTGAGGTAATCCTGTAGTGAGCATTAAAATTGGACCCTCACTGTTGTGCAAATGTTTACCAACCCGGCTGGAGTTCATAAAAAGGTTCCTTTCATCGATCGATTTCGCTCAATGGATGGGCGTCTATCGCGTGCGTAGTGAAGTCTGATCCTGGATTTGTACCATAGTCGCTTCCGAGTGTTATACGAATCCAGAGTGGACGAGTCGCCACCGTGGTTTCATTAAAAAAATGGTCGGAACTCCTGAGGGGCATCACAGGAACAGAGTAGTAATGTGAGCGAAGAATTGCTCTGTAAGCCAGGAAAGGCACCTGTGCAAGGATGAATTTATGTTTGGATACTTCCGCTCGGTGTTCGTGAACACCAGATTCTGAATCTGGTGTTTGGCGATGAATGTGGTGTGTCTGGCGATGAATCTGAGATTCATCTCCACGCGTGTGGCGCCATGCGTGGAGTCCAAAGCTCGTGGATCAATTCTCGGAACAGAGCTTACTGCTCACCGAAGACTCCCAGCTGATAAAGTTGCGGCATTGCTGTAACAAGCTGTTGGCAGACAACGAAGGCATGCACATATCGAACTGACGGTTAGATTAGGAAGCGAAAGCGGATCCATATATGAATCAGAGATCTGTCACAAGCGAAAAAACCAACGGGGCCATGCGATCACCCCATCCAAATTCACAAACTCACAAATCTGGGACATAAGTTTGCAGTACATGAACAGGATCACTGACATGGGTTGCATGCGAATTTATTCAGAGCAGACACTTATTTTGAGGTAGACTCGCAGACGTGCAAACGAATGTTAATCTACACTCATCGCACAGTCAGGACAGTCTCTAGAGAAGATAATTGTATCTTTTCAAATCTGTGAAGGGCTTACGTTGTCAAAGTGTTCAACATGATACCGTCCGAAGTTTTCTAACGAAGCTGTGAGTGGGGTTCGATACTCTGCTTCCATCTGGATTTCATGTTCTTGATGGGTCGCACTCACAACAAATTGAGTTCCTTCAAACCAAGAGCTTAATCGCCTTCTCAGCAAGATAATGTTTACTTCACGAGTAACTCATAAGACGTGTGCATGTAATAGTGCAGAAGACTGAGTGTGAAGTGGAGTCGCGGATATTGTATACGAATATTCTTGTCAATATTTTTATGGGCATATTATTCATACGGGCTTGAAAGCAGATTACAAAGTTCAGTGTGATCATCCGTCCTAACTGGAACACTGTGGTCAGAGACGTAGTGTTCCATAAGATTATGTGTAGTTTCTAGAAATCTGCATGTTATGTCTAAATGAGCCTAGGTGGGATCAAAGGTACAGATCGAACTTGAACATAATTGATGAAGCTTCCTGTGAGTCGTCATTACATTTTCTTTGTGAAGCACCAAAGCAATCCCGACTGCACAGCTCTGAACTTGCCGGTGATGTTCATGTTAAGCCTGTCGCTCTGCGAAGTTCATAGTTACTCACGCCGAACGTAAGAGGCAATATAAAAGTCTCTGTTGCAACTATGAGCATTTACAAAAGCACTGATTGTTGCATACGCATCCTCTGCCTGCACAGAAAGTACCTTTGCAAGCGCACTCAACAAGCGAGAATGCTTTTCCAGTAAAATTTTCTATCATCTCTCGCCCTGGGAGGGCTTCGATTGCAACCTGATAGTGTATAATTACAAGCATGAGAGCCACAACCAGACACAGGGTCCTTGTTGAAATCATGCTGTGCAGCATTTCTGTGCAAGAATCCGCAGAACTCCGGTCCAGTGAGCTTGGAAAGATAATTTTCAGCTGAAGCTGAGTACTAGCAGAGGGCAGCAGCTAGCAATTCGAAAGCACATACAGTACATAGACTTCGGGTATGAAATGGTTCTTATAGGGTCGCTTTTGATAAGAAGTCAACTGAAAGCTAGTACTTCTGATCTCTAGTGGACTGTGCTGGAGTTGAGAAGTTCACGATCTTTTAACTTCCCGTTCAGATTTCAAGTGTAATCACTCTGAAATGTCAACTTCGCGTGTCCTGATGCACGAAGACATTCACAGAAATAAAATGTCAAAGTTCTATGCCACTTGGCTACTTTATAATGAATTATTTCGTTCAAGATGACAATCTTTCTAGACAACAAAGTTTGTAATAGTAATAAAGAAAAAGATATAGACAGTAAAGGTCAAAGGGCTTATTGTTTCCATCCTACCAATGTTATGTTCTTTCACTCATATGATATGATGTAACTAAACGTGGCATTATTAACATGACATAACGTGGTTAGTGGTATACTGGAGTATACCACTTTACGTTTTGGAATAACTTTTGTTGGTCTTCCTGGCTTGATCTTCATAAATGTATGTACTAACATAGGTATGTAGCATACGATACTTCGACATGATAAAATGATATGAGAAAATTTAGCAAGTTAGTTTTTGTATCACATTCTACTCATGTTACATTCTTCATTCATTTCATAAAAAATCCATGAATCATATTTTATATAAAGAGCATGAAGTGAAGAATTCATGCATCTGCCACTTCGATTTTTCTAAGACAAAGAAATTATACATGTATGAGTTTTTCATTGACAAAATACACAAATTCACTTCAACGTTGCAAGTTTCAATCAACAACTTGTTCAATGTATCTGTTGTGGGATGCAATTAATTACTATAGCTTGTATAATATCGATTGATCATGATATACAAGGTCAAAACTTATATGTTTAATTAGAATCATATTTTGTTTTCATACAATATTTCGTTTTCATGTCTCATTGTTGTGTTCATTATAACAAAAACATACATCATAGCTTGATTGATAAAGATTGCACACAAATTTGAATTTTTGCTATTGAAAAGTCAGATTTTCCATTTAAAAAAATTCATATAAAATTCTAAAAACATATTTTAAAGAATATAAGTATTTAAAGAAAATTCAATTTTAGATTTGAAATCAAAATGAATGATTTCAATTGTTGGGTGATTATTTGTTGACTTAAACTCATATGAAGAAGTAATCTCATGTTTTAGCCATTTATAGCTAGGTTGATTGTTGGGAATATATATCCAAGGTTTTTGTATAACCAGACGAAACGTTCAATATAATTTTATGATGCTCTTCCCCCGCTTGTACATAGCACTTGAAGATGAACCATGTTATATGTTCGTATCTCTTGTGTTGATGGTTTGGTTGAGTGTGTCGATGTGTTTTACGTTTACAATTGGTATCAGTGCAGGTTCAGATTTGAAGTTTGTGTCACAACATGAATTTTGTTTGATGATGAGTTTTTTCTATACCTGAAAATTTTTTTGACAGTGACGATAGTGTTTTAGTGAATGACTGTGCCAGAAATCTGACAATGATGTAAGATTTCTAATGTTTCTTTTTGTTTTTGACGGTGGCAAACATTTGAGTATAAAGTGTTTGAGACAATGTGAGCGTTTTTTTGAACTTAATGTTTTTCTCACTGTTTTATGTTTTTCTCTAGTCTCTAGGTTTTCTCTAAGGAATTTGAGCTCGTGGAAGCCAAATTTGTAAGACCGAATTTTTTATGTATGAAATAGAGTTAGAAATAGCCAAGGAGTTAATCATGGTTAGTCTAGATATGATTAAGTTTAGCTAGTTATGACTAAGTCTAGCTAGTTATAACTAAATTATCAATTTATAACTATGTTTAGCTAAAATTTCTATACTTGGCTGAATAACTAGAAAAATTCTAGAAGATTCGAGTGATCACTTATATTTTCTTTTGTACAAAAGTCTAGATTATAAGAGAAAAGAATTTTGAGTTCATGTTTAGTTTTGAATGGTTTTACTAAGTAACGGGAAACTTCATCGGTTAGACTAAGTCTAATGTTGACTTAGTGGCAACTGGAGGTTCTAGAAGTTGGAAAGTCACAAATAACATGTCTCCACCTCAATCTAGGTATTAGTAAACATTCAGAAGGTTTAGGAGACCAATGACATGTTACCACATATTGAGAACTAATCAACCTTACTATGGTTTATTTTTGTAAGAGTAAGTTAGGTAGGAATTATCATGGTAAATTCTCAAGTAGTATATATAGAGAGGTAGTGAAGAACTTCTCAAGCAAGTTTGGATAGTTCATATGTAGAGACTTGTTTCATATATGAAAGAATGATGATTTGCAGTACCTTGAAGTGTTGATGAGTGTGTGAGTTGGAATAATACATTGAGGGATTGTGTGAGAGGGTGTTTGGGCTATGAGTATGATGAGGAATCCTAATCTTCTAGAACCATGATGAGCTATCAAAAAGACATTCGAGGTAATCCTGAGTGAGAGTCAACCCGGAGGTTGCAGATCGAGACAAAATCTTCAGAGTTTTTTATAGAGCTTGTGAAGGCAGAGAAGCAATGACATATTATTTTTGATGGTATTCTGACTACAACAGTTGTGAAAGAAGTTAATATCAAAGTGATACTCAAAATTCGACCGACAAGACTTTCAAATTCGATAAAACAAAACTCTCAAGTTTTGACTGAACAACATTGTTTGTTTGTTTCAAGTTATTGACAATCTTGTCAGTAAAGCAAGTTCATTTTTAGAGAAATGTGACGGAAAATTCTTCGAGGTCGGAGAAATTAGATTTTAGAGGCGAACACAAGTTTTGTTGTCTTGGTTTTGTCCAATTTAAGCAAGTCTTATGGCCAAGATTGCATTGTGATGACGAAGTTTCCATCAAAGCATTTTGCTACATACTAGAAAGGACAGAATGAGCTCTAGTTTTGGCAGATGGCCATTACATACACGCTTGATTAATATGGGATCTACTGCTCGGTCTACTTGATGAGTGAAAGAGAGAGGAAGCAAGAGCAGAGGCAAGGCCGAGCAACAAAGACGAGCATCGGCATCAAGTACTTGTCGTCGCAAGAGCGAGCCAGTTGTGCATAGGGCTCCGATCTGATTCGGGTAGAACCTGAAAATCCGAGTTCGAATCGGGTTCAGATCAAGGGCTATACTCGACCCAAAACCTAGAGGGTAAAGTCATCCGCTGGTTGGCGGCGGTGGAATCAAACCCTAGACATTGTAGAATACAAAAGGAGTGGAGTGCGCTAGAGCACACATCTTGGCTACCGAGACGATCCGAGAGTGATCCGGGACATTGTGAGAGAGAGACATTTTGAGGGAGTAAAAGTGTGTGATTTGAGAGTGTTTCGAGACGATCCGAGAGTGATCTGAGACGTTTTGAGAGGAGTATAGACATTTTGAGAGAGAGTGTAGCGATTCGAAACTTTTTGAGAGAGAGTGTCGCGATTTGAGACATTCTGAGAGATTGTTTGTGATTCGAGAGTGTTCCGAAACGTTCTGTAAGAGAGTTACGGGATTTGAGACATTCTAAGAAACACGATCGTGATTCGAGAGAGAGTGTCACAATTGAAGACAATTTGAGAAAGAGTGTGTGATCTGAGACGATCTGAGACTAATTTGAAACGTACTGAGAGTGTGTGTGTGATCTGAGAGTGTTTCAAGACAATCCGAGAGTGATCTCAGACTTTTAGAGAGACAGTGTCGCGGAACGAGTGTGTGATCCGCGACGTTCTAAGAGAGAATGTGGTGTTTCTAAGAGAAAGCGTGATGTCTACCAGAGGATGTTAGAAACAGTGACAAAAATTGACACATTAAAAATGATTTCGGAATAGAAATTAGTTGCGTTGGACTGAATCCCAAAAAAACCAAAATTGAGCAGTTCTGTGGTATGACATACGTTCAGCTTCTGTTTTCTATATGGCCAATTTTTTTCATAAAATTAAGACACCAACATCACATTTTCTTAAAGTGAGATTTATAGTATAATAAAAAATAATACTTCAAAAGAAAGTAAATTCTTTTTTTTTGCTCATATGCATTGTAGTACTTTTTTTGAAGATTCATTAACATATTCTTTTTTTATATGTAAATCTCAGAGAACAAATTAAATTTCAAAAATACGTTTCTATCGTTATAAATTTCACTTTTGTACTTCTTTGAAAAAGAACATCTCTGCATCTTGGTCCCAAATACATTCGGCTTATCATCTAATAAAAAATCAAGTTTCATTGACATAGTGATCTTTTTCTTACTTGTTCTTGCTGCAGGGAAAATTCTTGAAGCAAATTTCAACATGCCACATTCATCGAGAAGAATACTCCTCAAGCAATTGAACTATTGCGACATTGAAATTTGCTATTTACCTTTCATATTTTTGATTAAAGTGTCAGACTCCATCGTGGTAACAATGAAAACTCCTACAAAGCATATAGTCTCATATTCATTGTTCCAGTTGCAGGTCTAGGATAGAGAAAAAAATTTTGCCCACAACTTTCTTATCGTTGACTTAGAGAATCTTGCCTTTGTAAGTCAAGTTGATGACTCATTTTTTGAAAATGAGCAAGAGAATTTATATAGCAATAATGACATTGCACATTTATTGAAAGATGATGATCTGAAACATGCTTGGAAGTCAACATACGTAGAACTTTATCCATCTATTGCAAAAATATCTGTAACAAGACCAAGAGGTGCGGTTTATGAGCACATTAATCATGTAGACGAAGAAGAAAAAACGTTGATATATTGTAAATACTGTAGAAAATCATAATGCTAATTTGAAGATATCTTCAAGAAGACTGGGTCAAGTACATCAAATAAGATGAAACATCTTAAGAATCATCATAACATTCAATATTCTTGAAGCAGTAACACATTGTTGGGATCAATAGACAATTATCTTTAGAATTTCTCAGCCTTGAAGAAAAAAATAGCAGCAACCTTAGATATATTTGATGATCTTATTCGTGAGTCGATTGAGAATTTTGTGTTTTCAAGGGCCGAAGCGTTCACTT